AGATTACCTGGACATTTTTGTTATCGTTATCTAAACGATATACTGATTTTCTCATCCTCCCTGAAGGATCACAGATACATGTGGCAAGGGTGTTGGGGCGGTTGCGTCAGCATGGGTTATACCCCAAGGCAGATAAGTGTTGCTTTGAGCAACCTAGCATTAACGTTCCTGGGGTTGATTATCTCCACCGCGGGGGTCGCAATGGACCCTCAGAAAGTCTCTTAGCGATTTTGGAGTGGCCGGTACCCCGCGGACAAAAAAGCGTTCCAGCGGTTTATTATCGGTTTTGCAAATTTTTACCGGAAGTTCATTAAGAACTTCTCGGTCTGGTCTCCCCCCATAACTCAGGTTGACCAAGCTTGGAACCCGGGTTCAGATGGACGCCGGAGGCTCAGGAAGCCTTTGAGGCCCTTGAAGAAGCTCTTTACCTCGGCACCCATTCTGGCCAACCCGGACGCTGCCCTGCCATACATCTTGGAAGTAGACGCATCAGAGAATGCGGTGGGGTCCATCCTGTCCCAGCGAAAGGGCACCAAAGAATTACTCCATCCCGTAGCGTTCTTCTCCAGGAAACTTACCCCAGCCGAGAAGAATTACGATATCGGCGATCGGGAGTTGTTGGCCATCAAAACAGCACTCGAAGAATGGAGGTACCTGCTTAGAAGGTGCCTCGCACCCCATTTTGATCTTCACAGATCACAAAAATCTTGAGAACCTGAGGACCACGCCAAACGTTTACGCCCACGGCAGGCAAGATGGGCATTGTTCTTCTCCAGGTTCATTTTTCACATCACGTATAGGCCCGGATCTAAAAATACGAAACCCGATGCACCTATCTCGCATGTTTGAAGACTCCAAAGAAGAACCGGTACCTGATACGATTCTGTCTTCAGGAAATTTCTTGGCGCTCCAGACGGACCTTCGTCCAAGCTATTGGAGGCATCCATGGCCGCGTCAGTCCCAGTTGGTGGTGTGTCCCTCCAGAACAAGGGGGGGACTCCTATGGAAGGATGGGTTGGTCATGGTCCCCTGAAGAGGACCGAACCCTTGTCCTGGGACATTGCCATGACCACCCGATGGCGGGACACTTTGGCCCAGCCAAGACCCTGGAGCTTCTCCAACGCTCTTTTTTGTTGGTGGCCGAGTATGGCCAAGGATTGTAAACTCTATGTAAGATCCTGTACCATCTGCCAGAAAAACAAGCCATCGAGGAACAAGGCTTGGGGACTGCTGCGTCCTTTGCCGATTCCTGAACGACCTTGGCAAAGGATCGCGATGGACTTTATAGTCGAGCTCCCACCGTCCCAAGAGAACACACCGCGATCTTCGTGGTCATCGATCGATTATCGAAGATGGCTCACTTCGTACCATTAAGGAAGACTCCATCTGCGTCCGAGACTTGCGCGAATATTCATCCAGGAAATCGTAAGATTACATGGAGTCCCCGGAGGACATTGTCTCTGATCGTGGGTCCAATTCACATCTAGATTTTGGAGGGCCCTGTGCAAGGCCCTGGATATCAAGTTATCCCTCTCCTCTGCTTTCCACCCTCAGACCAACGGACAGACCGAGAGGACCAACCAGACCCTAGAACAATACTTGCGTTGCTACACGTCCTTCCGTCAGGATAATTGGTTACCACTTTTACCTTTAGCGGAATTTGCATATAACAACGCAAGCCATTCAGCAACAGGGCAATCTCCGTTCTTCTCTAACTACGGATATCACCCTGTCTTTCTCCCTGATTTGGTCTCTGAATGCCCAGTTCCGGCAACACAAGACGCATTAACCTTCTTCTCCTCGAACAATAAAGTACTACAGGAAGCCATCGCTCGGGCCCAGGAGGACAACAAGAATGCGTTTAACAAGAAACGAAGGGGGAATCTGGTGCTGAAGCCTGGGGATAAGGTATGGTTGGCAACAACCAACTTGAGAGTGCTTTGTCCCTCAAAGAAATTGGGACCTAAATTCGTGAACTTATCCTTCCTGAAACATTCAAAATTCATCCTGTTTTCCACGTGTCCTTACTTAAACCTGTGATCCCGGATGCCTTCCCAGAACGAGAATCCAGACCTCCGGAGGCCATAACGGTGGAGGGACAAGAAGAATATGAAGTGGAAACGATCCTGAAGTGCCGAAGAAGGGGGGGCCAGACCCAATTTCTTATAAAATGGAAGGGCTATGGCCCCCGAGGACAATTCTTGGGAACCAGCCCATAATGTCCATGCACCCAGACTTGTCCGGAGGTTTCTTCGTGACCACCTGTGGTGGAGAGATCGGGGTGGGCATCCGGAGGTTGCCCGTAGGGGGGGGGGGCAATGTCAGGGATCCCCTCGATCCCCGCTGCGATGGTCCCGGCGCAGGCGCAGTATGCCGCCCTGTGCAGGGACGCGAGCTCTAGGTCCGGGCCGGCCGCGGCGCGCGAGTTCGCGCTAAGTTCAATTTAGATGCGCAGTAGAAGCCGCGGCCCGCCCGCTGGGCACCAATGGCAGCGCAGGGCGCGATATTTAAACGGCCCTGAGCTGTCATTCGGTGCCTTCTGGTCTTATCCTTGCCCTGCATCCTGTATCCTGAACCTGAACCTGTACCTGTAAGTTGCTGACCCGGATTGTACCTGACCACTGCTGAATTCTCCTGCCCAGACCCTTGCTTTGCCTGACCTCTCTTCTGTATGTCCCCTATTGGATCTGACCTGCTGTTGCTGACTGGCGTGTGACCCGACTATTCTCTGCCCGCTGCCTTGTACCGTACCGTCCTCCCCGTTACCGACCCGGCTTGCCTGACTCTGCACTTGCTCAGCCATCCATCCATCCCTCTCAACGGGGTCTCCAGACCTCCTCATATCAGGCTCTCTCCCGTGGGAGCCCCTGGCGAACACCCCTACCACTGACGGGTATCCTCAGTAAGCACGACCTGGTCCCGGGTACTCCAAGTCCCATCCCCACCATCAGGGGCCCTGGTGAACAAGTACTCTGGGACTTAGACTCCGTGCGCTGGGGACGCCTGATTAGTGGAGTGCTAGTGGTGTCGCCGGGCGGTCCCTTACACAGGCAGATACTTATCCATCATGCTGTACCATCAGGGAGGCATGTGACTAGAACCAAATTTATTCTGTAGCAGGACAAAGACCCAAAACATACAGCCAATGTCCATAAGAACTATCTTCAGAGTAAAGAAGAAGAAGGAGCCCTGGAAGTGATGTTTGACCCCCACAGAGCCCTGACTTCAACATCAACGAGTCTGTCTGGGATTACATGAAGAGACAGAACAACCTACCTGCTGAGATCCTTCAAAAACTGTGTGCAAGTCTACCTAGAAGAATTTATGCTGTTTTGAAGGCATAGGGTGGTCACACCAAATATTGATTTGATTTATATTTTTCTTCTGTACACTCAGTTTGCATTTTGTAAATTGATAAAAATTATATATATACTGTATATATATATATATATATATATACACATACACACACACATACACACTGTATATCATCTAACATTAAATTTAACTAAAGGCAAAACCTTTTCTTTTAGTTTTGGATACATTGGATTAGGATACCTGTCAGGTTTTTATTGCTGTCTGTGTCTTTGGTAAGCCCCGTATACACTTTGAAAATATTGGACGAATGATTGTCTATTTTTTTTTGTTTGCATGCTAGTCTCATATCCAAAGTGAAGAGATTACAAAGTTACTACAATCCTTGTACAACAGAACAAAAAATTCGGAAGTGATGTAACATTTTTGTATTGTATCTTCGGATGAAAATTGTGCTGGTTAAATGAAAATCGTACGAATTGGTATCATACAAGGAAACTTTTTGTGCTTGTCCCTTCAAGTAATTTTGGATGATTACTGTGTGCTAATGATCAAATCATCGTACAATCGCTTTGAAAGTGGCATTTTTCATGTGATTTTCTGATCATGTGAATGGGGCTTTACAGAAATTTACCTTATCTATGTGTCCTGTTTACTGTTATCACTGAAAATGAAATTGAAAAAAAATCACAAATTTTGTGTTGTCACCAGAACAGGAATAGAGAGGAAATCTTCCAGCAGGGGCACTAGCTCTGGTGGCAACAAAGGATTCCCTCCCTTTGGCAAAAAAAAAAATTGACAGGGGTTATAACCCTCCCTTACTCTATCCAAATGAAAAGAAAAGGTTTGCCTTTAGTTCTGCTTTAATTTTTAATGCTAAGAGATTGATGCTAGGAGTTTTAGTGCTGAGCTCCTGGGGCAGACAGCAATGCCCCATTTTTTTTTGTTTTGGAGTGTAAGGGAGGGTTATAACCCATGTCAGTATTTGCCTTGTGTGTTTCAATGGGAGCATTTCCCTTCACTTCTGCCTATAGCCAAAACCAGTAGTAAGAGGAAATCCCTCCAAAGTAAGGAAATCTTTGGATGTAACAGAACTAGTGTCCTCATCGGAAGACTTCCCCTCCTTTTCTATTCTGAAGACAACCAAAAAATGTGTGATTTTTCTTTCACTTTTCCTTTCAATGATAATGATAAACAGGATAAATAGAGAGGGGGAATCTCCCTAATGGGGATACAGACAGCAATAAAATCCCTCTCCACTCTGTCCAAAACTAAAAAAAAAGTTTTGCCTTTAGTTATACTTTAAGGCTTCTTGCACACTGCAGCTTGAAAAAGCTCAGTGCTGCTTTTTTTATACTGAGGTAAAATGTAGCCCATTATTTACATTACAAAGCGTGTAAACAAGTGCCGTGTATTCCTCAGTGAAAAAGAAAAAGAAATTAGGAAAATCTGCATTTTTTTGGTCAGTAATTTATGTGCATTTTAGCATAAATATTATTGAATTTTCCCTAAAAATATATTGTGTGGGCAAATGCGCGAACGCTCATATGCGCGCAAACAGACACAACAAACAAATGCCTGAAATTACAGTCAAAAATGTACATGCTCAAACATCAGTACCCTGTGCAAGAGGCCTAAAACTGGAAAATAATGTGTAAGAAATATATCATCCACTACCATCTTACCATATTTCATGAGGAAATTCATAAAATCCATTCTTTTCCAAGCCAGTGGTGTTAAGGATTTATAATAATCCATTTTTGGAAACAGATCCTAGAAAGGAACAGAAAGAATATGAGATTCAGATCCATAACTTCCAGCTGACTTTTTGGTGGTTGTGGTGCCTATCAAGCTGCAGTATTTTGGGAGTTTACATGCATTGCATCAAGGGCTAATTTACGCATACAGCAAGGACTGCTGTGCCTCTGAAAGTAATATTTCTGCAACCCCCAATACTGGCTTTTAGACAACCCCCGAAGCGTAGGAAACTTCCTTCTGATTATGATATCACAAATAATAGAAGAGTGAGGGAAAATGGAACAGCCATTTTATATATCAAACATTTTAGTTTTGATTAAGTGGTTATATATTGAATGTATATTTTGTTATTGGAAGTCTTATTGTAGAACAGCTGTATTTCTTGTGTTAGAATGCTATTCACACCTCCAGCTGAGAAGATTGTAACATGCTTGCGTGAATCTCCATTTACTTTTCAAAGAACTCCACCAGAAACCTGAATGTAACTTCAAAGCAGTTAGCTAGATTCCCACCCATTTTAGGACATATAAATTGTATTAGCTTTCCTAGGCAGTTTAGAGCATTACTTTGAATCCAACACCATGTATCAGGGGTGGACTGACCATTTGGAAACTGGGTCAGTAGGGGGCCCATGAGATGCCCCTGGTACCTTTTTAAAAGGCTTTTTGGAGTTTGGGCAAGGACACAGGGGTCCCATGATCCCCTATTGCCCGGGGGCCCCATGAGTTGTCAGTCCGCCCCTGCCATGTATTGTTCTGCTCTCCCTGCACGGAGGTCTAGCTACATGCTTGTTTATTAAACATCTACTTTTCAATCTGGTTTCAGCAGTCAAAATGTCACTGAAACCCATGAGTTTTGGGTTTCCCCGTCAGATGCAAATCCTGCAATAAAAAACGCTGCAAACCGTGCAACCAAATTAATCCATCAAAAAGTGTCAGACACTCAAAAGGGATCTTCAGTATCACCGATTCATACAGCTGCACCTCCAATAATGTTGTGTACCTTATTCAGTGCAGAAAATGTAGCAAAGGATCTTATGTTGGCAAAACAGAACAGACGTTGCGAACAAGGATGAATTTGCACAGACATACCATCAAGTAACATAAAGAAGATTACTTTTGCACACCTGTGGGACACCATTTCGCACAACCAGACCACACTATGGAAGACCTCAATATTTTAGTTCTTAAAGGAAATTTCAGAACTAATCAGGAAGGAAAACTTTTGAACTAAGAATGATAATTCTATTTGATACAAGAGATAACGGCCTTAATTTGGACATGGGATTCCTCACTCATTATCCAACAGTTGTAAGACCCTTCTTCAGAGGCGTAGCTAGGATATTTTGTGCCCGGGGACGAATGGCCACCTCATGACACCCCCCCTTCATATGGTCCCTGTAGACACCCCCCCGTCCCGATCATATTGCCACCCCCCTTCATCCATGGCACTACTCACCCAGCTCGTCTCTCCCCTCGTCCCTTCCGGCATATGCCCGGATCACTGCCCTCCTCTGCGCTCCTCTCCAGGCCGGCTCTTCTCTCCTCTCATAACTCACTGTGGATGGCAGACGTATCAGATGACACGTCTGCTGCAGCCGCTGCAGTGATCTTGTGACCTCATTTTGGTGCCCCTGTACCTTGGTGCCCGGGTACATATGTACCCCCCTGCCCCCCTAGCGACACCTCTGCCCTTCTGTGAGAGTTGTCCCCCCCCCCCCAGTCTTTGCTTTTGCTGTATCTTATCTCTAGTCTAATCCTAGTTTTATAACCATTGCTGTGTACATTTGTTTGTGTGTGTTTTTTTCTGGGTTTTTTTTTTCCTCCCCCTTTTAACATTTCTTTTAAAATTCTGCTAAAACTTTGTGTAGTAGTATTGACTGGACCTTGAAGAAGGGGACATACCCCAAAAGCTCGTCCTCAAAATTGTATGTTAGTGCAAATAAAAAAAGTATCACGGACAGTACTCAATTGTTTCTGTTGCAAGTGCACTAATACAGCTACAATCACCTCTTTACAAACAGAACAATGCATGAATCAAAGGGTCGCCTCTCCCAATCATGGGAAACTTTACATTGTGGGAACCTATATGTGACATAAATGTACAGATTTGTGACCTGTAGCAATATGTAATCCTAAATGTAGTTCATTCCTTGTCATTAAAGAAATAAGGAATTCAGAGACAGATGATAACCAATTAGCATCCGAAGGAACCTAGCGTCCTCAGGCTGGAAGATGCACCTATATGTAATCAGACTTTGCCATCATCCTGAAGTTGAAAAGAGAAACGCAGACGTTTTGGCTTCATGACACCAGGGGGGCTTCGATCTGTCTAGGGAGCTCTAAAAGTATATATATACATCAAAGGAGTATGTTTCATCCCTCATAAAAGCTAAACTATTAGTTGCAGAGGGATGAAAATACTTCCTTCTGATGGGGCACTCTGTAGGCTACATCGGCATATAAAAACTATATTGTGGCTTATGTAGAATGCCAGAAAAATGCAGGAAATGGTTAAGTGGCCCTGGAGTGCGATAGCCGCACAGTGATTGGTACTGTCGTGATCAGACTGATGCGCTGGTGTCGGAAATTCAATCCCCCACTTGGTGATTCAAACCTGTCTTGGTCCACTTGACTTTGGGCAGTTCCAGCACCCAGAACAGTCTGTGGGCGGGTACAGGAACACCCCCCAGAGTCGATTGGCCAAGGATTAATGTCCAGCCCACGTCCATATCCCCATAAATTGAGGACCCTGACATTTGGACAGCGTAATTCGTATGGAGCTGGTTCGATCGACTAACGGATTACAGACTCTCTGACTTGCTCCAGTCGCAGGATAAATATTGGTAAAAGTTTTATTTCTGTTTTTTATTCCCTTTATTTCATAGTGAACAGTCAATGTGTGTCTTCTTGTATTTTTTGTATTTTTGTAACTTTTTATATTTTGTACATATTTTATGCACTACCCCCACTTTCGGGATATGAAAATCTTAAAATTAATAAGTGACTTCTGTGTATTTAAGCATGGGCTCATATCTCCGGAGAGATTAGATTGTATTGTATTTTAATGCCTTTGTATGCTTACGGTCAAGCTCATTGCCAATCTGTATGTAATTGCAACCGTTTGTGGTGTTGTGGGGTGTGCCTGGTTGTGGGGGTGTTTGTGGGGGGGGTGGAAGAGTGATGTTGGGGGTTCTGGCTTGTAGGATAGCTGGAGGGATCCTAGAAGGGTGTGTGATTGCTGGGCTGTGTTCAACCCTAGTTAGTGCATCAGATTGTATGTAAGATTTGTATCTGCCAGTGTGTGGTCAGTCTGGATTTTTTGGAGTGGAGTCTCCCTCCGGGGGTGGCCAAGAGGTAGTGTTTTTTGGTTCTGTGAAAGTATATCACAGCTGGTCTTATATACGGTTTTATATATTCAACGTTAAGTCCCCCTTATTTCCCTCTTACCCCAAGTCACGGCCGCACGTGCCCACCTCGGTTTTTGCTAGTCGCTGTGGGTGTGTGGGTTTTGGCTGAACCCGTGACACTATAGTATGTCAGTTCCCAGCCCCCATGCCATTTGTATGACAATCCCTTGCATATTAACCTATAAAATGGGCCAGAAGTGTTTTTTTTTTTTTTTTTTTTTTTACATTTCACTAGCATTGACTTCAACAGGATTCAAATCTGGAACCCAAACTTTAGTATGCTTTACTTCACCCACTTAATCCAGGTACATTTAGCTCATCACTAATCAGGACCTCAAAAAATCAGACACAACTGTAGAAGAAGAGGGATCAAAGAAACAGAGAGAGAGCTTTACAGAGGGAAAAGATTGAGGTAGAGTAAGCTAAAGAGTTATCTTTATAATAAGTCTAATTATAATATTCATTAACCCCCCCCCCAAAAAAAATTCTGTCTTAGCGCTAACCCCCCTTTCTTTCCCAACTCAACTGTTTGGCAATGCTAAAATGTATTTGGTCCTGCCAATAAAGCAGAGAGAGATAGAGTGAGATAGAGAGCATGAGAGAGAGAAAGAGAGAGAGAGAGAGAGAGAGAGAGAGCACGAGAGAGAGAGAACACGAGATAGAGAGAGAATACGAGATAGAGAGAGAACACGAGATAGAGAGAATGAGACAGAGAGAGAACAAATGAGATAGAGAGAGAATACGAGATAGAGAGAGAACACGAGATAGAGAGAATGAGACAGAGAGAGAACACGAGATAGAGAGAGAGAGCATGAGAGAGAGAGAGAGCAGAGATAGAGAGAGAGAGAGAGAGAGCTTGAGATAGAGTACATGAGATAGAGAGCACGGGATAGAGAGAGCATGAAACAGAGAACATGAACATAAGATAGAGAGAGCACAAGAGAGAGCATGAGATAGAGAGAGAGAAAAAGAGAGAGCATGAAGATAGAGAGAGAGAAAGAGAGAGCATGAGATAAAGAGAGCGCGGAAGCGAGATATAGAGAAAGAGAGCACGAGATAGAGAGGGCAAGAAGATAGAGAACATGAGATAAGTGAGAGAGCACGATATAGAGAGAGAAAGATAGCTTGAGATAGAGAGAGCACAAGAGAGAGAGAGCATGAGATATAGAGAGAGCGCAAGATAGAGGGAGAGAGAGAGCATGAGATAGAGAGAACACGAAGAAGAGTGCGAGATAGAGAAAGAAGAGAAAAGAAGAGAAGAGATAGTGAGAGAGAGCGGGGGAAAAAAGAGAAAAAGAGAGCACAAAATAGAGAGAGAGAGAAATAGAAACAGAGCATGAGCTAGAGAGACAGAACAAAGAGAGAGGAGACAAGATAGAGAGAGAAATGCAAGATAGAGAGAGAGCAAGAGATAGAGAAGAGAGATGGGATAGAGAGAAAGAGCATGAGATAGAGAGAGAGCATGAGAGTAGAGAGAGAGCATGAGATAGAGAGAAAGACCAATGAGATAGAGAGAGAGCATGAGATAGAGAGAAAGAGCATGAGATAGAGAGAAAGAGCATGAGATAGAGAGAAAGAGCATGAGATAGAG